ATGTGCGGGGTCTCACTAGGGTATTGCAGGGTCTCAGCAGGCTGTGCAGGGTCTCATCAGGGCTGTGCGGGGTCTCAGGTGTCTCTTCGGGGACTTATCAGGACTGTGTGGGGTCTCATCAGGACTTTACGGGTTCTCATGAGCCTTGCTGGGTCTCAGGAGGCTGTGCGGGGACTCAGGTGGCAGTGCAGGATCTCAGGAGGCTTTGAAGGGTCTCAGAAGGCAGTGTGGGGTCTTAGGAGGCTGTGAGGAGTCTCAAGAGGCTGTGCAGGGTCTCAGCAGGGCATTGCAGGGTTTCAGCAGGGTGTGTGGGGAGGCTGCGCGGGGTCTGAAAAAGGCTGTGCGGGGTCTGAGGAGGCCGTGTGGGGTCTCAGAAGGCCGTGTGGGGTCTCAGAAGGCTGTGTGGGGTCTCTTTAGGGCTGTGCAGGGTCTCATCTGGGCTGGGCTGGATCTCAGGTGGCTGTCCGGGGTCTGAGGTGGCTCTTTGGGGTCTCAAGGGCTTTGCAGGGTCTCAGGAGGATGTGTGGGATCTTAGGAGACCCTGTGGGGTCTCAGGAGGCCGTGCGGGGTCTCACCAGGGCGTTGCAGGGTCTCACCAAGGCGTTGCGGGGTCTCAGGTGGCTGTACAGGGTCTCAGATGGCTTTGCCGGGTTTCAGGATGCTGTGCGGGGTCTCGGGTGGACGTGCGGCATCTCAGGTGGAGGTGCACGGTCTTAGGTGGCTGTGCGGGGTCTGAGGAGGCTATGCGGGGTCTGAGGAGGCTATGCGGGGTCTGAGGAGGCTGTGCGGCGTCTGAGGAGGCTGTGTGGGGTCTCAGAAAGGCTTTTCAGGGTCTCAGAAGGTTGTGCAGGGTCTCAGGAGGCTGTGCGGGGTCTTATCAGGGCTATGCAGTGTCTCAGGTGGCTGTGTGGGGATCTCAGGAGGCTGTGTGGGGATCTCAGGAGGCTGTGTGGGGATCTCATGCAGGGTCTCAGGTGGCTGTGCGGTGTCATGAGGATGCTGTGCGGGGATCTCAGGGGGCTGTTCCGGGTCTCAGGAGGCTGTGTGGTGTCTCAGGAGGCTGTGCGGGGTCTCAGGAGGCGGTGCAGGGTCTCAGGTGGCTGTGCGGTGTCATGAGGATGCTGTGCGGGGATCTCAGGGGGCTGTTCCGGGTCTCAGGAGGCTGTGTGGTGTCTCAGGAGGCTGTGCGGGGTCTCAGGAGGCTGTGCGGGGTCTCAGGAGGCTGTGCGGGGTCTCAGGAGGCTGTGCGGGGTCTCAGGAGGCTGTGCGGGGTCTCAGGAGGCTGTGCGGGGTCTCAGGAGGCTGTGCGGGGTCTCAGGAGGCTGTGCGGGGTCTCAGGAGGCTGTGCGGGGTCTCAGGAGGCTGTGCGGGGTCTCAGGAGGCTGTGCGGGGTCTCAGGAGGCTGTGCGGGGTCTCAGGAGGCTGTGCGGGGTCTCAGGAGGCTGTGCGGGGTCTCAGGAGGCTGTGCGGGGTCTCAGGAGGCTGTGCGGGGTCTCAGGAGGCTGTGCGGGGTCTCAGGAGGCTGTGCGGGGTCTCTGGAGGCTGTGCGGGGTCTCTGGAGGCTGTGCAAGGTCTCAGGGGGCTGTGCGGGGTCTCACCAGGGGTCCGTTTGGTCTTGTGGACGGGTGCGAGTGGCATGGTTTCAGGAAGGAAGAGATGTGTGGCTGGCGCTGTAAACAGGCGCCGTGGGTCACAGGAAGGCTGCCGAGGTCCCCAGCAAGCGCGGCTTCAGTGTACAAATGTAAAGTGGCGGTATCAGTGCAGCCGTAGTCTGTACTGTCTGTGGTGCAGGACTCCTGAGCCTGTGATTGCTCTGCTGCAGTCTGTGGTGCAGGACTCCTCTGTGCTCTTTTGCAGTGTGTACTGTCTGTGGTGCAGTGTGGACTGTCTGTTGTCTAGTGTGCACTGTCTGTGGTGCCGTCTAGACTGTCTGTGGTGCAGTGTGGACTGTCTGCGGTCTAGTGTGCACTGTCTGTGGTGCCGTCTAGACTGTCTGTGGTGCAGTGTGGACTGTCTGCGGTCTAGTGTGCACTGTCTGTGGTGCCGTCTAGACTGTCTGTGGTGCAGTGTGGACTGTCTGCGGTCTAGTGTGCACTGTCTGTGGTGCCGTCTAGACTGTCTGTGGTGCAGTGTGGACTGTCTGTGGTGCAGTGTGGACTGTCTGCGGTCTAGTGTGCACTGTCTGTGGTGCCGTCTAGACTGTCTGTGGTGCAGTGTGGACTGTCTGCGGTCTAGTGTGCACTGTCTGTGGTGCCGTCTAGACTGTCTGTGGTGAAATATGTTCTGTCTGTGGTGCAGTGTGGACTGTATGTGGTGCAGGGCTCCTGTGTCTGTAGTTCCCACTCGGGGCTGCAGGTAAACAAGCCCGGTGGAGTCAGGCAGGGGCAGGCAGAGGCAGGGATGGTTCCAGCTCTCTGATTGGACTGCCGGAAAAGTAGAAGATGAAAAGCTTCTTCTTATTGGCTGCAGACTCAGGAGAAGCCTCTGACATCACCTCGCCTTCACCTATTGTTAGAGTGCAGCAAAAACAAGTTCTGGAGAGGGAAGAAGAGAGAGGAGGGCAGAGACAGACCAGAGAGAGGAGAGAAGAGACATCCCAAACAGACGAGAGGAGGAGAGACAGAAGAGAGAGGGGGGAGACCTCCCAGAGAGAGAAGGGGAGGAGAGACAGACCAGAGAGAGGAGAGAAGAGACATCCTAGAAAGAGAAACAGAGGGAGAAGACTTACCAAGCACTGAGCAAGGAGATAAGAGAACATATAGAGACCGGAAGATAGAGGGCTGCAGGACACAGAACAGAGGAGAAGGGAAAGAGGTCAGAGGAGAGGATAGAAGGTGGTCAGAGGAGAGAAGGGGGTCAGAGGCGAGTAGAGAAGGGGGTCAGAGGCGAGTAAAGAAGAGGGTCAGAGGAGAGTAGAGAAGGGGGTCTAGAAGGAGGTCAGAGGAGAGTAGAGAAGGAGGTCAGAGGAGAGTAGAGAAGGAGGTCAGAGGAGAGTAGAGAAGGAGGTCAAAGGAGAGTAGAGAAGGAGGTCAGAGGAGAGGAGAGTAGAGAAGGAGGTCAGAGGAGAGTAGAGAAGGAGGTCAGAGGAGAGTAGAGAAGGAGGTCAGAGGAGAGTAGAGAAGGGGGTCAGAGGAGTGCAGAGTCCAGAGAGAAGCTCAGGTGGGGAGAGTGGGGGTGTAAGGGGGGGTGATAGAAGGAAGTGGGGGAGGGGTAATAGAGGGGACATACAAAGTGAGTGCTTAGTGGAGCCAAGTGATGACACCGCGCAGATCCTGTACTGCCAGCTAAGGAACTGTGAGTACCATGTGTTGTATATAAAGCTGTGTGTGCACTGCGCTGTCTGCCCCCATCACTAAGACGGCCCGCTGTCTGCCCCCATCACTGAGACGGCCCGCTGTCTGCCCCCATCAGGGCTGGGCGAGGGGAAGGCAGAAGGGCCGTCTGCCTTAGGTGCTCCAGCAGGAGGGTGGTGCAGAAGCTCAGGACCTGCAACCTATACCGCTGGGGTAGTTCCCAGCTCATTAGAGTCCTGCCCTGTCCCCGCCCCTAGTATGACCCCGGCCCCACAAACTCCACCATCAGCACCATTTCTCAGGAGTAGAAGCCGCAACTGTGACAGGTTCTCTTTATCTCATTCATCATATCCTCCTATGAGACCATGGGACAGGAAGTGAGGTGTGTGCTGCAAAATCCCTCCCCCACCATTACTCCTTCATCTTCCCCCCCAATGTTGCAACGCAATTTCCACCACCAATTGTGTAATTACGCCAAGTCACATGATTGAAATCATCGCTCTGTCCAGGCGGATCCACTCATTGGTGCACTGCAGTTCATGGAACTGACCGGCGCCTATATCTTGCCGCCCTCCGGGACGCCAATGCTGTGTTCTCAGCTCCGCATATCAGCTTCCGCCATTCACCGACGCGCATTTTCCTTAAAGCGCATCTTGCGTTTGTGGCGCCTTTTGTAATGCGTTAAAATGTAACAACGCAACACGCGTGAAATATGGACATGTGACCTGCGTTCTCAGTGTCGCCATTGACTATAAGCGATCTGTCGGGTCCACTCAGGCAGTGAAAGGGTTATGAGAGGGGGAGGGGAACCCCCCCTTAACATGGACCCCGTGACTTGTCTGTTCCTCACGTGTCTCCTCCTCGTCATTCCTCACATTTCACCTTCCCGCCTCTTCCTCCAAATTCCACAGATCCCATCCCCCACCTCACCCGCCAAGAGGACCTGTCTACCAAGGAGCTGTGTGAGTGCAACTGTGCAGACTTAGACTGTAAGCTCCTGGGGACAGGGTCTCATTATACCTCTAGACTGTAAGCTCCTGGGGACAGGGTCTCATTATACCTCTAGACTGTAAGCTCCTGGGGACAGGGTCTCATTATACCCCTAGACTGTAAGCTCCTGGGGACAGGGTCTCATTATACCCCTAGACTGTAAGCTCCTGGGGACAGGGTCTCATTATACCTCTAGACTGTAAGCTCCTGGGGACAGGGTCTCATTATACCCCTAGACTGTAAGCTCCTGGGGTCAGGGTCTCTCCTGCAGCTCCCCTCCTCCCGGAATGTTGATGTTTTGCCTTCCATGCTGCTTCCTGGCTGCCTTGTGTTGTGTCTGTGGAGGTCTGTTTGTCTCTGTCGGCTGTGAGTGAGTCATGTGGGGGGGGGTCTCTTCTTGGCCCCCCCATCCCGCTGTCTCTTTTTGTCCAGCGCCGCGCTCTCGGCTCTCCTCTCGGTGACTCTCTCTCGCCTGTATTTGTCTCTATAAATACATTTTTCTCTTTCCTCCTCCCTCCGTCTAATCATTTTCTCGGAGTCTCCGAGCTCGCTGCGGGGTCTGTGGCTTCTCGTTATTCTAACATTGCATGTGTGCGTGTGTGAGCGGTGGATTGCTAGCTCTTGGGCCCAGCTGTAGTGTCAGATTGGGCTGCCATTGGGTGTTGTTCCCCCCCCCCTTCTTTTTCTCACCCGGTTGGGGGGCAGATTGGTGACTCACAGAAAAATCATCTCCTTGGCTGTGATTGTGTCTCTTCCCGGGCTGCCTGGCGATGGTGGCTGCGCTGCTGTGTGGGCGCAATCCTGGCGCGACGCGCGGCTGTCTGTGTGTGAATGTCTCAGCGCTCTGCCCGTCTCCTAACTGGTGTGCGTTTGTTGCAGGCTATCCCCGCCATGTCACTGACCCCCCCGAACAGTAACGATGCCTGCCTGAGCATTGTTCACAGTCTGATGTGCCATCGGCAGGGGGGGGAAAATGAGGGCTTCGCCAAGCGAGCCATCGAGAGTCTGGTGAAGAAGCTGAAGGAGAAGAAGGACGAGCTGGACTCGCTCATCACTGCCATCACCACCAACGGCGTTCACCCCAGCAAATGCGTCACCAT